TGGGGGTAGGGCAGAGGGAGAGGGAGTGGGAGAGATAGAAGAATCCCAAGCAGGCCCCATGCTGACAGCAGGGAGCCTGACATGAGACTCAAACCCACGAAACAGTGAGATCATGACCTGAGCCAAAACCAAAAGTCTGATGCTTAACTGACTGAGCCACCCATGTGCCCCAAGCCTTTCTATTTTTCTTTAAAATATTTAAACTTCTTTGTTGAATATCTAGATAAAAAATTTAAATATAGTTAAATATTTAATATACTTAAATATTTTGAATATTTGAATTTCTTTACAACTTTATTTTAAGGTCTGAAATCTGCAGCTTAACTGAAATTTAGCTTGGGTTGGAGTTGAGAAGTGATGGAGGGCCTGAATCTAGGTTTTACTTCTCATCAATATAACCTTTTCTGTGAAAGAATACGGCTCCATGGAAAAGCGATGTCAACTATTAACTGGTTTATTGACACGGCTATATTATTTGCTTTATTTTCTTGTGGTGTAAATATTTCATAACAAAAAGGTTTTTAAATGCTGTCCTTGTAATTCTAACGTTTTAGTGTCATTTAATTCACAAACACCTGAAGATGTAATTAATTGAGGGCGTCAATCGGCTCTTGAATGGAGAAATAGTTTTTGTTTGTTGTTTAGTCTTGATGCATTTTGATGAAAAAAAAAATGTCCTTACAATGACCTCCTGTTTCCATGAGCTACAGAGCAGGTCTTTACTCTTTTGAAGCAGAGGAGCCAGAACTTTGACGGTAGAATGCATTGTTTTGAGTCCACATGTATTATAAGAGCAAAAGCCTACCATGGAAAGACCAGTCAGGAGTGGAGTATTGCAAAGTCTGATCAAAGGAAACACCTCCCTCAATCTGAGACGTTGGGCTGTGAATGGAAAAAAAAAAAAAAAATAAGAGCAAATGAGGCAGGACACCATTGATGACAAAGGAATGGACGTTCAGAAGCTAAAAGGGAAACTGGAAACTCCTGATCTCAGAGATGGGCCCCCAAGTGTGTCCAGAGTGTGAGAGTAACCATAATATCAAGGCTGCAATGCAGCAGGCAAGGGTTGGATGGTCTCCTTGGGTCCTCTGACAGATAATACTTTGGCCACCTTGACAGTGGGTAGGCATGGAGGTGAAATGGACAGCCACACTCAAAAGGAAAACTAAATATTTCTCCTCAGATCCACCCCCCATAAAACACACTCTCAACCATAATGAATATATAAAGAATCATCAGACGCTCTGGAATATTCAACAGGCATCCTCCCTCCTCCTCCCTCCTACTCGCTCCTCTAAATAAGAAGGTACGCACAGATACAGTGAGCTTTTTGGAGACATTGGAGAACTCTCAAGATGCTTTATTTTCTGACACACACGCTTTCAACCTATTTGGAAAATGTTCTACTTTGAGCAATATTTCTTACCCTTAAATTCACCAAATAATTTTTAATAAAATAAAAGCTACTAAGTATATTGTGTTCGCTGTGGCAGCACATATGCTAAAATAGGAATGACACAGACAAGATTAGCATGGTCCCTGAACAAGGATGACATGCAAAAACTACCTAGTACAGGGGCGCCTGGGTGGCTCAGTCAGGTAATCCTCTGACTCTTGATCTCGGCTCAGGTCATGATCTCATGGCTTGCGAGTTCGAGCCCTGTGTCGGGCTCTGCGCAGACAGCACCGAGCCTGCTTGGGATTCTCTCTCTTCCTCTCTCTCTACCCCTCCTCCATACTCGCACACACACTCTCTCTCAAAATAAATAAATAAACATTTAAAAACAAAACAGACAACACAGGGAAGTATATAGTTAAATGAGGTTTATCTACATTTGAAGAAAGCTATAGATCTTAGAATATTTTATTTCGGATTGCATCATCAGAGAGGAGTTGAACACAAGCTCCGAGATGCTATTTTCATTCAAGGGATGGGGGTCATCCGCACCTGGCATGGGTTTTTTTTCACACACTAGCTACATGTTGCACAAGACCCATTCCTGTTAGGGGTGACTGCCTTTGGAGGCTTACTTTTCGATCACTAATATAAGAAGCTTTTTCTTACTTTTGAATGTTGATAGTTTCATGTTCTTTCAGAGGTATTCCCCTGGAAAAATTTCCATCCTTATTTTTTGAGTTCCTTATTATGGAAAAATTTAAATATATGCAAAAGTAGACAGACTAGCACAATGAACCCAAGTCACCTAGATTCAACAGTGATCAGCTCAAGGTCAACCTTGCTTCATCTATCCCTTCACCCACTTCCTGACTTCCAGTATTGTTTAGAAGCAAATCCTGATATCGTATCATTTCAGGTATAAATATTTCAATATATAACTCTAAATGACAAGGATTCAGATTCTTCTTTATTTAATTAATTAATTAAGTAATCTCTACACCCAGTGTAGAGGCTCTAACTTACCACCCCGAGATCAAGAGTTGCATGCTCTTCCGACTGAGCCAGCCAGGCACCCTGACAAGGATTCTTTTTTCTTTTCTTTTTTAAGATTTTATTTTTAAGTAATCTCTACATCCAATGTGGGTCTCAAACCCATAACTCTGAGATCAAGAGTTACATGCACCACCAACTGAGCCAGTCAGGTACCCCAAGGATTCTTTTTTAAATAAAAATAAATCCATAGTTCCATTTTGTACCTAAAACTTAATAATAATTTTATAATTTCAAATACAATCAACATATTACATCATAGTTCATAATTCATACAAAATCGGTTTTTGAAACCTCTCATTTTGTACCATAAGGAAGACATTGTGGTCTGCTTTCCTGTCTATGGAAGGAAGGGATCCAAGAGTTAAAACAAGATAGAGATAGGCAAAGGGAAATGTAATCTTACCTGGATTAGTGCAGACTCTGACTGCAGGTCAGAGCTGGAATAAACAAATATAAAAGGATCCTTTCTTCCTTCTTTTCTTCCTTTCTAAAAGTTTTATTTATTTTTGAGACAGATCACTCAATCAGGGGAGGGGCAGAAAATGGGGACAGAGGATGTGAAGTAGTCTCTGCGCTGACAGTAGTGAACCCAATGTGGGGCTTGAACTCACAAACCATGAGATCATGAGTTGAGCCAAAGTCGGATGCTCAACCAACTGAGCCCCCCAGAAACCCCAATAAGATTATTTATTTCACTGATCCTGGAGTGTCTGACAGAAGGGAAGTACTGGAATCAGCAGGGGCTCGGAAGGGATCGGAACTGAGAAATGGGGTAGAGGCACCTCAGGAGGACCCTCTCCATCGTACAACTCTCCTCTCTCTCACCTATATTTCATTCCTCTTGAGTGGAAAAAAAGGTGTGCTAACACCCCTGAATTTTCTCTACTTTTCTGTGTAAGAAACCAGCCCAAACTGGGATGGGAATATCTTAGTAATAATTGCAAGTTTCTAGGCAAACTGGCTCTGATTGGGCCAGTTTGGGTTAAGTGTCTGCTCTGGGTCCAGTCAGCAGTGACTGATGGAGGGAGAGTCACATGTCACAGACATGGCTGCCAAAGTTTACCCAAGTGGTCTGGTGAGGAGGCAGAATCTCCCAGAGAAAACCAAGGCCCATTGCTCATGGACTGGGTTGTTGTCAAGGAAGACTGAGAGCAGAGGCATCTCTGGAGCTAAGGAATCAATGGTGGATCACTGCGTAAAGACGGGAGGGCATTCCTCTCTCCCCATGCAAAAGTAGACAGGAGTCCTCACTAGGGAAGAGGTTCCATCCTGGGTTGGGTTGTCAAATTAACCAACTCTGTGCTTCTGTGCCCCTCAGCAGTGATCCCAAAGTGAGAACCACTCCACAGGCCAGTGAGTGAAGGTTTCGTCTACCTCGAGCTCAGTCTTGTCCTGTTCTGGGTGGTGGCTGGGGGGTTGCAAGAGAAAACCCTTTCAGATTATGCCGTCTGACCACCACAGGGGGACTCCTCTACCTGAAAGCAAGGTTAAGAGGCAGGTAAAGATGAAAGCACATATGAGATGTGGATAGGAGACAAAGAGGTTTGGAATGAATCAAAGACTAAACTCAGCTGAGGTGCTTAATGCAAGGCCTGACTAGGTATCTTCATCACTTCCATTGGGTCCCCTTTATTCATTACCCTTTCTGGCTTTCTTGCTTTCTCTTTCTTTTTCCTTGCTTCTTCCTTCCCTCCCTTCTTTCCTTTTTTCTATTTCTTTCTTATTTTCCTTCCCTCTCTCTCCTTTCTCTCTTCGTCTTTATTCAGTGTTCCTTCATTTGTGTTTTGAGGACCATCAGCATAAATCACCTCAGAGCCTCCTTCAAGATTCAGACTCTGGCTCTTGCTTCCAGACATTCAATTTGGCAGCCTTGGGGCCTGGCCTGGGAATCTGCCTTTTTAACAAGTCGGGAGATTTTAATGCACACCCGTTTGAGCACCGCTTGCTGTGGACAGAAACATTAGTCAGGTTGGCCTCAGAATGTTCCATTCATTCCTATGCCTTTAAACAAGACGAATTTTCCTAATATAATTTCCCTACATTTCTGTGGTGATGGAGACGTGTGTAGCCAGCATACCACAGTTGTCAGTGGAGGCATTTAAGCCTACACCCTAAATACCTCTCCCCTTGCCCCAGGAGCTGCCCTAAACAGCTGCCTGGTTCAAGAAAAGCTCCCGAAGCTCTCCCATTCTCTGAGTCATGTCATCATCTCCCTTGATTAGGGAAGTGGTTTCTTTGCCTCTCAAGTTAATGTATTAACACTCTTGAACACGGCACTGATTGGCTAATATAATAACAATCATGTTTATATAAGAAATTGTCAATTCTAATTTTTGAAATGTCACCAAGCCTGATTTGATACAACATTATCTAGATTTATATGTCAAAGCGCCCTGCTCGGGCGAGAGTCTCCCCAGTATGAAGGTATGATGGCTACCATGAAATTATAGGCAAGGCAAGTTGGTTGTATAAAGTAGTTTTGGGCTGGTCCTGAGAGAACCATTTCTTTTCATTTCTTTTTTTTTTTTTAAACAAAAAACAGCTTTATTTTTTTTCTTGGCCTTTTGGCTAAGATCAAGTGTCGGACCTGTTCTTATCAGTTTCATATCTGATACGTCCTCTATCCAAGGACAAGACGTTAAATGGATTTTGGGAGCAGGCAGATAGAATAAGGGCTTGCTCAGCCCACTCTGTGCATCGATCCGGTATTGGAGTACCTCCCGGCACAGTGCACCCCCATTGGGAGCTTCAAATTTGGGGTGGCTTTGGGGCATCTGGCTGGCTCTGTTGGTAGAACATGTGACTCTTTTTCTTTTCTTTTCTTTTTTTATTCATTTTTGAGAGACAGAGCACCAGCAGGGGAGGGGCATAGAGAGGGGGAGATACAGAATCTGAAGCAGGCTTCAGGCTCCGAGCTGTCAGCACAAAGCCCAACGTGGGTCTCCAGCTCATGAACTATGAAATCACAACCTGAGCCGAAGTCGGCTGCTTAACCGATTGAGCCACCCAGGCGCCCCAAGTATTTGACTCTTGATCTTGGGACTGTGAGTTCAAGTCCCATGTTGGGCAAAGAAGTTGCTTAAAAAAGAATGTATATACCATAAACTCACCCATTGCAAGGATACAGTAGATGTGTTTTAGTGAATCTCTACATTGACATACACATTATGAGTGAATCCATTTTTCTTTTTTTTAAGGTCTTTTTTGAAAGTTTATTTACTTATTTTGAGAGTGAGAGAGTGAGGGAATGAGCAGGAGAGGGGTGGAGAGAAGGGAAGAGAAAGAATCCTAAGCAGGTTCCCCTTTGTCAGCGAGGGGCTGATGCAGGGCCCGAACCCAGGAACTGTGAGACCATGACATAAACCAAAGGTGGATGGATGCTTAATGAACTCAGGCACCCCCCCCCTTTTTTCAGTTTTATTTCTTTTTTAATCCAATTTTCCAACACTTCCATTCATCCGAAGGTCTTCCTTTGCCTTTGGCAGTTACCCCTGGCTCCCACCAACGCAACCACTGATCTACTTCATCCTGTTTCGCCTTGTCTAAATATTTTCTATAAGTAGAATTATAAATAGAATATATAATAGAATTATAGATAGGATAAGTATAATTGTAGTCTTTGTGTTGACTACTTTCACTTAGCAAAATGCGTCTGAGGTCTAGCTCAGGCCGTTGCATAGATCAGTAGTTCGTACATTTTCATTGCCAAGTAATATTCCATTGGGAAGATCATTTTAAGGCCTTCATTTAAAATGTTTTCACATTGGTATAATTGGAACTTCTCTATGACTAGAAACTCCAAACCTAGACAATTTCTTGCTGTCTCTGTGCCATCAGTGGTGAGGAAGCCTGCTCGTCATTGCCACTGTACCAGCTGGCAGAGAAGACGAGTAGATCGTTTTCTGAGTGTTGCCTCAACATTCAGCTTGTATGGTCAGATTGCAACCTATTTTTCAGTGGAAAAGCTTAGCATGTCTTTTCTCAGATGTGACTGTTGAATGCAGGGTGTTTCTGAAATGTGCTAATACCATTGATCAGGTAAGATTTATAATACCCCTGTGAGCTTAATCCCACTTTTATATGTATTTTACTGTATAAGAAGATCCACATGAAACTACATGATCTAGGGGCACCTGGGTGGCTCAGTTGGTTCGGCATCCCACTCTTGATCACAGCTCAGGTCTTGATCTCAAGGTTGTGAGTTCAAGCCCCACTTTGGGATCCCTGCTGGGCATGGAGCCTACTTAAAAACATTTTTTGAATCAATTTTATTTTTTTATTTTATTATTTTTTAATAAACATTTTTAATAGATTTTCTTTACATTTGAGACACAGAGAGACAGAGCATGAGCAGGGAAGGGGTAGAGACAGAGAGAGAGGGAGACACAGAATCTGAAACAGGCTCCAGGCTCTGAGCTGCCAGCACAGAACCCGACGCGGGGCTCGAACACCACGAACCGTGATATCATGACCTGAGCCAAAGTCGGACACAACCAACTGAGCCTCCCAGGCGCCCCTATATATTTATTTTTTAATGTTCATTTCTTTTTCAGAGAGAGAGAGCAGAGTACAAGCAAGGGAGGGACAGAAAAAGAGAAAGACACAGAATCTGAAGCAGGCTCCAGGCTCTGAGCCGTCAGCATAGAGCACGATGTGGGGCTCGAACTCATGAACTGCGAGATCATGACCTGAGCAGAAGTCAGATGCTTAACCAACTGAACCACCCAGGGGCCTCTAAAATTTTTTTTTATTAAAAAAAAAAAAAACCCAACTATGTGATCTATTGCAAGCATACCAGTCTGCGACACACATGTTTTATAGTTACCTTAATTCTTGGGTTCCCAGGAATGGGCTGCAGTTCCTAAATGTGATAGAGAATGTGAGTGTGCTCCATGCATCTGTTTTGGAGTGCACGGTCGCTGGTTCAAATATCTTTGTGCCTATATTGCTTTGGAAATGCTTTCTCAGCTTCGGAGTCATTCTCCTAACACTTTCTGACATAGTCCGCATTCCAGGGTATTTGCAGAGGGTTGTCAGTCTCCCCTCCATGATCCATTTCCGGCTGCACAGCTGAGTGGCCCAAAGAGGAAAGAGTATCTAGTGGTTTGGAGAATTTAGTTCAGTGGGCCCTGGAGGTCTTTATTTTTAACAGTATGATTAAACAATATTTCTGACAGCACAGGAAATTAGACACATGTTTATGAATTGCTTCTTTTGAAAAGGGCATGATGCCAGGCTAGAAAACAATGATTTATATACTTCATTCATTAAAAAGACATTGTAGCAAATTTTTAGAAAAAGAACTGTGCCAGGTACGGTGGGAGGTACAGAACTGAGAAATTCTCAGCTTCAAGCACATCCCCTCTGAGGAGAAAATGTGACTTTGGCGTCACAGGTGATCTGTGTTTGTGGATGAGCTTCAGAACCCTACATGTTCTTTCCTTTGGTGGTTTGGTTTGGTTTGGTTTGGCAGGAAAAATACTTTCTGAGTTATTCTGGAGACAGACCTCTTTTGCTTCACCAGAATACAAGTTTCTTTCCAACCAGAAGAGCATGAGTTAAGTGGATCTAAGTGGAAGGTGCATCTAAACAGGCCTGCAGCTTAAGAGATCTTTCGTCTTAACCTTGATGATCTGAAAGGTCTGTATCCATCATAGAGGAGACACAGCATGTTCTGAAAGAGCTGTGACCCAGAAGCCAGAACAATCTGGGTGCTGATTCTGGCTGTTTTTTTTTTTTTTTTTTTATGTTTATTTATTTTTGAGAGACAGAGAGAGGCAGAGTGCAAGTCGGGGAAGGGCTGAGACAGAGGGAGACACAGAATCCCAAGCAGGATCCAGGTTCTGAGCTGTCAGCACAGAGCCCAACACGGGACTCAAACCCACGAGCTGTGAGATCATAACCTGAGCTGGAGTCGTACACTTAACCAGCTGAGCTCCCCAGGCGCCCCCTGGCTTTGCTGTTAATTAGAAGGGTGATCTTGGCATCTATGTGGGTTTCCCTGGGTCTTGGTTGTTTTGTCTGGAAAAGGAGGGCACGTGTGCAAGAAGCTTTCAGGTTCCTTACAGCCAGAAAATTCCACAAGGCCTTTTTCACTGGGAAAACAAATCCCTGGCAAGCTCTTGTCTAATAATTACTGTTGGGTAACCCTCCTAAGGCTTTATGACTTTTCTACTCTTCAGGGTTTATACATTGTTTTCTTTCCTTAGGTTTATAATGGAGCAACGTTAAGAAACATTTCGTTGATACGTATTGAAGTTTTATTATATTTTATTTTATTTTATTTTATTTTAATGTTTTATTTATTTCTAGGAGAGACAGCGTGAGCAGGGGAGGGTCAGAGAGAGAGGGAGTCACAGAATGAAACAGGCTCCAGGCTCTGAGCTGGCAGTCAGCACAGAGCCCGACGCGGGGCTCGAACCCACGAACTGCGAGATCATGACCTAAGCGAAAGTTGGACGCCCAACCGACTAAGCCACCCAGGGGCCCCGATACGTATTGAAGTTTTAAACATTGATTTTTGCCCGAGTAGTAATGAGAATATGAACCGTTGTGTCTCTTTAACATATGTATATACGTATACACGCACACGTACCCCTTCTACCTTGAAAATGAGAACATCAAGGTCATTAACATAAACAAATTAGAAGTGAGACTTTGGGGTTTTAGTATGACTCCTCCCGTCCTCCTCCAACCTCTGATGCCAAGACTGATAAACCATGAAGATGGTGGCAGAAGTCACCTGATGCCATGTCCCCATGTCCTGCTGTTCTTAAATAAAGGAAGGATAAAATCCTTGTCTTCTTACTATAAAAGAGTAGTCTTTGTTCATCTTTTACGTTTTAACGATTATTTTCTCAGCTATCTGCAGAAGCTGTGATGGAAGTTTTATGAACTTCAAAACAGACAGAACACCAAAAACATAAAAATTAAAGATTCAGTGTTCATCCTGCCTCTGTATACATGATGCGAAGCAACTGGGCATAGGGAACCCTGGCACATTTTGATAAAATGCAAACATCAAGTCTTAGGTCTGTAAGTCTTCATTCTCACCAAACAAATATCTGTTCTTCAATTTTAAAAAGGCGTATCAAGAAAACGACATCGAAGTTTAGATACAAAGTTTAGGTGTTAAGTCCAATCTCCAACTGGTGAGTCAGGGAAAACGTGATGGTCAGATAATCAGAAAACAGTCCCTTCCGATCCTCAGCTGAAAATGGAAAATCAAGTGCCTGCACTGAAGCAAGGCCAGGGGTCACAGCGAGGCAGGAGTCAGCACAGAGAGGCCATGGCCAGGGAGGGTCTGATGGCATGGGGTGAATTGGATTAAAGGTGAGTCTCGTAACAAGTAGGCATAGAGTTTTGCAATCTGGATGTAAGCAATATAAAACGAAGTTTCAATAAAAAAAAATAAGTTTCAAGCAAATGCTGAAATTAGGTCCTGCTACAAATGACAGAAAGCCCTATGTAACAGTGGCTTAAACATGATTCCAATGTTTTCTCCAAACAGTCGTGTGAAGGGTGCCTCCATCAACAGGAGTCCAGGTCCCTTCCTCTGCTTGTGCACATTCTCAGCATAAAGCTTCACCTTATGGGCCAAGACAGGTCTTCAAGCCCCATGTAGGCAGCAAAATAGGCGCCTCTATTTAAGGGTACTTCCCAAAAGTAGCAAATACGACCTCCACTTATAGCCCATTGCCTAGAATTTAGTTATGTGGTCACAACTGGGGAGGTTGAGA